CCAGACATGCCGAAGCCTCTCGGCAAACCAATCCAAATCACCATGTTTGTGGATTCTGACCATGCTGGGGACAAGGTGACACGTCGTTCGCGTACTGGTGTACTCGTCTTTGCTAACATGTTCCCAATTATCTGGTATAGCAAGAAGCAGGGCTCCATTGAAACTTCTTCCTTTGGATCCGAGTTCGCAGCAATGAAGGTTGGAATCGAGATTGTGGAAGGCTTGCGGTACAAGCTCAGGATGATGGGAGTCCCCCTCGATGGTCCAGCTCATGTCAAGGCGGACAACATGTCCGTGATCAAGAACTCAAGTATCCCGGAATCTACTTTGAAGAAAAAGAGCAACTCGGTCGCCTACCATTATGTCCGTGAAAGAGTCGCTGCAGGCATGGCAAACATCACATACGAGAATACTGAGAGCAATTTGGCGGATATGCTGACGAAGATCCAGAACGGGCCTGTGAGACAGCGACTGGTTTCGAAAGTCCTCTACTAACAATCTGCAAAAAAGGCAACATGACCATAGGGTGGGCCGTTTGGTTAACGGCAGGTCTGAGCCTCCAAGGGGCCTTGCCCCAAGGGTACATCCTGTTTCAGACTTCCGAAGTCTGTTTTCCCATTCCAAGTGCAATCTAGCGTGAGATAGATCCCCCTCTAGCTTGAGGGGACCGAAAATGACCTGTGGTAGCGATTTATGACTATCCAGTTACCAGATTACTAGAAATCAACCACAACCACAACAACCAAGTAGTAACACACAACACTATAGCAACCTCTCTATCATCAGCCTTTTTCGAATCCCTCGGTGGGAGTGAAAGATGAGTCCACGGGGTAGCGTGATTTGTCCCTCACAAATTTTCACTTAGGCTAAGTGATTGAATTTTCACTTAGGCTAAGTGATTCAATTTGATTTACTTAGGCTAAGTGAGCCACTTAGCCTAAGTGAAATTCAGTCTTATTTGATTTACCAGGTAGTCAGTCACATTTGATTCACTTAGCCTAAGTGATTCACTTAGGCTAAGTGATGCTTTTCGTGGCAGCTTCTCAGCTCATAATCTGTCAGATTTCATTTTTTCAAAGGCACTGGGAAAACTCTGCCTCTGAGATATGTCAATATAAAAACTGTTAAGAATGGAAACAAATCACGACCATGAGCTTCCACTCTTACAAGGACAGGCCAATGGTGCATCCAACAATGCCAACGCTACCAACAGAATGGTTTGGTGGTGAAACCAGTACGTGGCTCTGCCAGATTGGGAGTGATATTTTTGAGAATTGTTAAGTCAGCGACAAACCCTACTCCAATCGTCAATTTGGGGGATAATCAACCTGGGTGGTTTGTGGAGGCACGTTTGGGGAATGCAAAACTTACAATTTCCAAACCCTCTGAGCTTTCGAACAAAGTCTCCTATATGGCCGAACCATTTGTCATCCAGTGCCGCCTAAGCAAGCAGAACATATTTGGGTGCATGAAGCAGTATGGGAAGTTCTCCTTGAGCTACGTTGTGACAACATGCTGTCACTGTTGCTATTGTCATCCAATGGAACATTGTCATTGTCATCATCTGAGGTCAATTGTTCCTGTGTCAACTGATGCTGTTGTGAATAGTGAGACTCTGCAGTTAGTCCAATTGGAGTATTTCTGGTTGTGCCCAGCATGGTGTTTGCAACCACGTTGCAGCTTAAGAAGGTATCATCGATTATGCTGGGAAGACCAATAGACATTGAAATAGAAAGGACATTTCTCGTTGTCACCTTTGATGGGACGTGATGTTTTGTGAATCGTTCCTTCATCAACTTTCTTTTTGCTGCGTCGTGATTGCTTGGTGGAATTTGAAACAGCAGCAATACCAGTAGACAAGTCTTTGTGGTATCTAAAACGAGCACATACAAATTTGGTGTGGTGACGTTTTTTCGCATACCCTTTCATCACTATAAGGAATCCTTGCTCACGACATGCTTTGACAAAATGTGGGCCAAGCATAGTTTCGCGCCATATGCTTGGGTTTTGGTTGAATTCTTTGGGCAGCCAATAGACTGTGCTGTCGTCTGGGTTTTTTGGATTATTCACACCATAGCCAAGGGTGGAAGCCAGATTAATAGTATGAGTGGTGTCATCCTCCAGGGAAGTTGCAACCTGAATTCGAATCTCTGTTGTAACCCAATTAAACTCTTTCTTGTGAAGCTCTTTGAGCAGTTCACATGAAGCTGAAAGTGGGGGCATGATGGGTGATAGTTTCTCCTTGTGTCTGTGTGTGTGCTTGCTGCAGGGACTTGTTGTCTTGTGGTGTTGAGGATACTTGAGACTTCTGCTGTTGAGGAGCTGCCTCGGAGAGCATCACTTAGCCTAAGTGTTTCGCTTAGCCTAAGTGAGTTGATTATTATGGCTTAGTCTAAGTGTTTCGCTTAGCCTAAGTGAGTTGTTTAGTATGGCTTAGCCTAAGTGTATTGCTTAGCCTAAGTGTTTCGCTTAGCCTAAGTATATTGCTTAGGCTAAGTGTTTTACTTAGCCTAAGTGGATTTTCGAGCACTTAGCCTAAGTGAAAATTTGTGAGGGATAAATCACGCTACCCTTTGCAACCACTGCTGGCAAGCCACCCTAACTAAAGCAACAAGCGGTACGCTAACCGGTAGCTAAAGTATCTAGAGATGCCAAGTTACACCCGGTGGTACCTCGGCCGACGTCGATGATATAAATAAACCAAAAGCCCAGTATCTAATAAGAAATGGAATAGGTACCGGTATGTGTTGCACTGGGCACCAACCTAAGGAGCTTTTGCTTGCTGGTGACTCTGTGTTGAGGTGCCCTGACCAAGTTGCCCAACACTGAATCTAGCTAGCTGGGAGTATCTAATGTAGCTCTAGAGGGCATAATATGTGAATGATCAATACTCTCAGAGGCTGGGTTCCTGAGTTACAAGGGAATACTAGTACTAGTACTTCCTCCAGCTAGCCATGGAAGGTACAGCAAGCTTTAATAAGCATTTCCATTCTTTCTTTCTTGCCTCAAGGTCCTTGCACCAGTCTTCTGTGCTTCAAGGTGATCTCATTTCAGTTGTTTTGTTAAGTGAAAGGTTTCCTAAAACAATTAATGAGTAGGGGCCGAAGCTGTCCGTGCAGATGATTGTTAATTGTTAGATACAGGGCATCCCCACTGTAAAAAATCGGTACTCTGAAGGTCCCAGTTACGTCTTCAGACCACCTAACATTACCGGAACATTACAGCACATTTTGTTGCGATGAAAAGACTGTGCAATCTGTACTGTGCAGACTAGCTTCAAGTCTCCCAGAAAACTCGAGGAGTTCGCATTGATTGAGAGCTCCGAAGCTGCTAGCTACCGGTACGGTAGCTATCATAGCTACCGGTATGCATACCGGTAGCCCGAAGACGAGCCGTTGGAAGAAAGAGCTGGAGAAGGTGAGAATCAATCGCACCACCAAAGCCGCCATCACACTCACCGAGAGTCTCAGCTGTCTCTCCCAGTGCTATTTCGTTTTCTAATCCCCAGCCCTGTCCCTTTCCACTACAAAAAGAAAGCTCTCTTTTCTGACCACCAAGCTGCCCACCGAACGAGAACTTCCGAATTCTGGAACGCCACGTGCGCCTAACAAAAGCTGAGAGAGATGCTTTTGCCTACCATTACATGTGCGGCTGGCTGGAATGAAGCGAAGATTGGCTGAGATTCGCTCGGATGCAATGCGAAATGATCTGATAAATTCTCATTCTGAGAGGGCCTGAATAGCTCCTGAATCGAGCAAAATCCATATGATTCGCTCCGGATCCACCAGCAGGATAATATGGAGGCTACCTGAATACTCAGTACTGAGTACACCTTTTGTGTCAGCCCCGTGAAGATGTCAGTGGGTGCTGCTACGTCGCTTGGACATCCTTCTCTCTTGAAAGGTACTGGTACGGTACCCGCCAGAGGATAAGCCGATGCTCATGAGGGAGATCGGAGCTCAGGGCGGGAATTGGATGTCCGATACGTACAGGTACAGCCAGGGGCAATCCCCCAGAGGCTGTTCATGCGTATCGGTAGTGCCGGGGCCTCGCCTTTTTACGTTTCTGGGCCTGGTGGATTGAAGAAGCTGGATGCCTTCTTGCTGAAGTTCAGTTGGCCAGCACGAGGACGATGACGTATTGTGGTTGCTGTACTTCCGTGGGGCCTCGCGTTTTCATGTTTCTGTACCTGTTGGTGGATTGGATTGGATTGGGATAAGCTGGATGCCTTCTTGCTAAACTGCATTTGGCCGACACGAGCGACCATGATGTATCGTCGTTGCTTTGCTTCCGACCGGCCGGTAAGCCATTGTTGTGTTGCTCGAGGAGAAAAAGAAAAGGCGTGCCTTTGAAAGCGTACCGGTAGATTGGAGAGGATATTGCCTTTAAGAAGGGATGCCTTTGCTTCGCGTAGGCTAAGCTATTGTTGTGATTATGGGATTGTTTCCTATGGATATGATCGTTCCTTTTAGATAGTATGATGTCTCTTTTGTTTCGTTTCATGTCATGATTCCGGTCGATTTGTTTCCTTTATTAGTGTGATCGTTCTTTTTAGATTGTGTGTGTGTCTCATTTTGTTTCAAAGTCATATGTCATGATGCGGGTAGATTGCCGCGTCTCCGGATCCTGCTCGATTCAGCTACTAGTTGACTTGAGACATGCCACAGCCTCGTACTTTCAAATTTTGTTTTCAGTGGGCACCCTCATCCAGAGAGAGTGCGAGCCGTTTCCAGCCCCCTAGTTGCAGTGGTAACCGTCGTCAATGTTGTGTTTCGTGCGTCGAGTAGTGCGACGAACAGGCTCCGTGGCCGGAGTCTTGGCCGATCCTCGGGTCTTACGGGCCGGAGTGCTGGTCGGTCCAGCCGCTGCGAAGGCAGTGGACTTCGTCGTCTTGACGGGCTTTGCCTTAGCCCTGGGCTTCTTGCCCCCCTCGTCATCGGACTCCGTTCCAAGCACGACCGAGTTTTCTTTCCCGGCTGGGAAAAATTCACGAGACACGTTACTCTCTCTGTGTGGAATAGAGTAGGTGTGAGGAACAACGACGACACAATTGGATGCGGAGGACGAACCAGGAGAAACTCACGCTGTATTACCGTTCTCGTCGATAAGGAGGGCGCCCTCGGTCGCCTTTTCAAGGAGCGCCAATCTGCGGTTCACCAACGCCGCATACTCCTTCACCATCTCAATCTGGTCCTTGTTGGCTACTTTCACTGCATCAACGAGATTGTTGTAGGCGCCAACAAGTACGTCAAGTCGCTCTTGGTTTTTTTTCTCTGTTCTTTCCATCATCTCTTTCACTTGGGCCTGTGCTGCCTTTGTTTCTTGCAGCTCGAGAAGAAACGGATCCGAGAATGTGGGTTGTTCTGCTATAATTCGAGCTCTGGGGGGGAGTTCCACCTGCTCGGGTGGTTCGTCATCGTCGTCCGGCCCATTCTGTTCTTGCCATATGTGACCACGCTTGGGCGGGTGTACGATCATTATGGGCTTTAAGATGTATTCGAACTGGATCTTCAGGCCGTGTTGTTCCATATTGTTTCCAAGAGCACGAAGACTGTCTTTCAGTGTTGATTCGCTCAGTGGGTTGTTCCTCTTTGCAAGGTCGTCGATAAGGAAGCCCTTGCATTTCTTGAGGAGCTTAGGGAGATTGTCTTGAATTGGGATGTATCTCTTCGAGGGCAAGTCATTCTTTTGTTTGTCATGCTCAAGGAAAAGGATCAATCCTTTCTTCGTCGAAAGGAGCGGGTACATATTGCCGTGATCAATCATGACGTGTAGCTTCTTGAGCTTCCTGGTGAAGGTTTCACGGATCTTCTTCTTCAGTTCGTCATCACTCGGATCAACGTTCATGCAACGCAGAAACACATCTTCATTTTCTCTGTAGATTATCATGGCACTTCTTGTGCGCGTTCTCCCAGTGTTGTCGTACGCTAGAACCATATCGATGAGGACTTCATGCATCTCCATCTTGGGAGCGTTGAACATTGTAATGTAAGTGCCTTCACTGAGACGTTTGCCATAAGTACCAACGCCAAAATCCAAGCCACCGATAGCACTGTCATCGTCATCCAACGATTCCCAGTCGTCGTTCATCTTTGAAATAGCTGAATCGAATCGAATCAAACAGAAAGACGAACAAGAGCACAGCGCTACCGTAGAGCAACAGCGGCGTCCACCGCGAAAAATGAGGGGAAGAGAAAGAAGGATGATTGTGTCAGCTTTTGTGAGGTCGAGTACGCGAGGCGGCAAGGTCGTTACATCAAATTGTAAATCTTTCCTCTAATTCGGACACACTCACCTATAATCCAGTTGAGCTGTAAGCCTATTGCAAGTGTTAGATGTAAAGTCGTAGGATACCGGTAGAGGTTGTACCGTACTGTACTAGTAGCTATTAACCTCCCTCGAGAAAACAGCACGGTACACGTACCGGTACGGTACTACATTTCTGCAACAGTAGTTGCACACCCTCAGTATGTGCTTCACACTACTACTTAGTGGATCTTACATACTGTCTGGATCTGGCATGGTATGCTACGTAGAAAATCTATGGTATCTGCAGTCATTGAAACAAAGATCCTCTCAATAAGACTCCCATTATTAAATAAACTGCAACACAGGAGATATAACAGGGGCGCATGACTACATAAGACCAATCCACATACTGAGAGGATTCCAATTTCGCCCTAAGTATCCCCACACATACGGTACCGATCCAATGAGATCCATGCAATCGTTCCGATCCGACCGTTGCAGGTACATACTTAAGCCAAAAGATCCAATCATACGTGATCCCGTGGGTAAAGAGGCACCAACTTGCTACCGGTAAAGAGAGCACCAACGCAGAAATCCCGTGATCGATCGATCGGTCGATCGATCTCTCCGTTCAGGTAAGCTAGTCAGTTCTTCATTTCAGAGCTCATTATTTTCAATCCTTCTACTTTGTAAAGGAAACTCTGCCGAAATTGCAACTCAACCAACAATTGGTTAGTTGACCAAACAATTCATCCACCATGGCCATGGCCAATGCCAATACTGGAGCCTTTGGGTTGGAAGACGTGCCGGATCTTCCTGAAGCACCCACGGAACAGCCCAAGTACAACCGGGATTACCATCGACTCTTCGTCAAATTCATGAGCTGGCTGCACAAGAGGACGTACACCAAGGCGGCTCGCTTCCAACCCAGTGCTTTGGCCGGCATCCAACCACATCACGTTGCCGACTACTTGAAATGGCGTGCGTATGGTACGACCGATGTTGACTTCAAAGACCTCGAGCAGAATCCAACTTGCCGCTCCTCTACTCTTGAGCAAGACAAGAAGGCTATCTCCTTCTACATGCCCATCAAAGGTGCCACATGGAATGGAACCTCCGGCAATCCAACCAAGTCCGATCCTGTGAACGAAGTGGTCAAGGAAGTCAAGAAAGCGGAGACTCAACACCGCGGCAAGAAGTCATGTGCCACCAGGGATTTGACGGAAACTGAGTATCCCAAGGTGGTCCATGAACTCTACGGCAAAGGGAGCTTTGAATCGACCATCCGTACAGCCTGCATGTTGAAGCAGCAAGTCCATCTCATCACCAGGACGGACGACATCTCCAAGTTGAAGTATTCCGACGACTACAAGCCGCATCCAGACTTCCCTTTTGCGCTCAGTTGCAAGGTGCATTGGTCCAAGAATATTCGGAAGAACGACAATGCCCTGACAAATCATTCTTGGGTCGATGGATACCGACTTTTGTGCTATGCTCGGATTGGCGAATTACATGGAGGCGTCCTTCAACTACGGGTATGGCGCCGCTGGTCGGGAAGATGCATTCCTCTTTGTTGTTTGCTAGTAATACTGCAGCTTATTGGGGAGTAATTTGGTTTTTGGTTTAAGCTGTAAAGCAAAAGTGATCTTTCTGCTGGGTTGCAGCTTTTATCTTCAAGTTGAATGGATATAAGCTGCACGCAATACTTTAGACCTAAAACTCCCTCGGTTCCTTGCATCATGAATATGCATGCGAACCGGACTAGAAGTTTAATACACGAGTCAATAGTAAGAGGTGTCAGTATGTTTCCTCCAACACACTCTGAACGGTGCCTAAGTGGTACCGTGGAACAGATAAGATAAATTAGGCAATAAAAACAAGGGGGTGGATGCCCAATGATGGAATAGCTCTGGTGCTTCTGGAATAGCTTCCCTAAGGGGCTTCGTGAAATTTAGTGAAAAATCTCCACGCATTTCAAGGTTGGGCAGTACACTACTCTGAGGTTGCCTTTGCCAATCTGATCGTGAATGAAAAAGAAACGTAATGTTAATTGCCCGAGTCCTTTTGCCCGAGACTGCCTTTGCCATTCTCAGCCAGGATGATGGTCGACTTATTGTCTTGCATCAGGATGTTGTCTTTGACAACAATCCCCTGCTCTTCAAGAAACAACTTTGCCCACTAACAGGAGACATAACGATGTCATCTGACCAATCAAGCTCCGCTTCGCGTGCTGCTCATCGCAATTGAGTTTCTGTTTTGCCAGACACTGACAAAGCACCGCACCACTTCCAAAAGGACATGATTCCTTCCTGTAGTGTTGAACGGTTAAGTAGGATGGACTTGCAATAATGATGCTATCCACCCACAAGTTGATGACACGGATATCTCAATGTGTAGGATCAAGCTTGTCATTTTCCACGAGTTCTGATCCGAAAAACTTGATGCCTTGAACCAGGTTTGCCCGTCGTTCAA